AACTCGTGATGTGTGTGACGTGTAATTCACTGTGTTGTGTGTACGTCACGATGTGTGTTACATGTAACTCGTGATGTGTGTTGCGTGTAACTGGTTATGTGTGTTTGTGTAACTCGTGATGTGTGTGACGTGTAATTCACTGTGTTGTGTGTACGTCACGATGTGTGTTACATGTAACTCATGATGTGTGCTGCGTGTAACTGGTGGTGTGTGTTTGTGTAACGCGTGAGCGGTGCTCTGTGTGATTCACTAACTCCTTGTCTCTGTCTCCTCACTGGAACGCCCGCTCCAGAGGGCAGAGACTTTTTAAATAGTTTGATTGACATGTGCTTCATAGATCGCACAGCTCAGCCGCAGCAAGAACACCTGGGCAGGCATCACCACAGTCGATCTTAGAACAGCTTCTTCTCGTTCTGCTTGTGGTTTGCTCCCCATTTCCCCCCAGCCTCCCCCGCCATGCCCCTAGGCAGTTGTCAACCCAGTTCCCTCTCTAGCCATCTACCTATCCCGGATTTCATGCACAGAAAATCATACAACACACAAACAGGAAGCAAGCGAACAAACAAAACAGCAACCGTAACCAGACAAAGCCGAGGACATCCTCAATCAAAAAGAAAGAAGGACATGTTTGAAAAGCGAAGCAACTTCAAGATGGGTCCAAGGGAGAGCACACGATCAAGGGTTGCGTTCTCACCGAACGCCATGGAGGGCAAAGACTTGTGTAGAGTCCTGTGTCACACTGGGTACTTTAGAGAAACAAATCCACCGAAACTCATGTGTAAGAGAGAGTTTTATATAAAGGATAAGTGCGCATCAAGAAAACATCCCAACCCAGTGCTGCCCAAGCCCACAAATCCAACATTAAACCATTAACCCACATGTCCAACACCAAGCCACAAAATCCTCCTCCATCTCACAAAACAGACACAATGATGCCGACTGCAGGAGGAAAACCGAGTCAATGAACGTGTAAGCATCTCAGTGCTGGCAGGGGTCTCCACACGGCTGCTCCAGCACCCAGGGCTGCATCGGGGTAGGTCCATGCAGCTTCTCCTCAGGGATGTCTTGCAGGAAGTGAGCCTTGCCAGCTGAAGCAGGGAACTGCTAAGGCAGCTGCACCCTGGTCCGACCATCAGAAAGCAAGAGACCCGAGAACTCGAAAGGGGAGGCTCACCCAGCCATTTATCCCTCTGCCCTTCAATAAACCCCACATGTGTTTATCGACCAGGTGGGCACAATAAATAACTACCTCGCCTGGCACACAGACGGTGATCCATGAGTACATGTTGATTAAACGGATAGGCTTTTTTGTGACTCTGTTCACTGAGGAGTGGGGGTGACCAGTCATGGGGTAAAGGGGCAGACCACGAGGGCTACATCAAGGTGTCCCTAGAAGCAGAGCTCCTGAAGAGCCCGTAACTGCCCTCAGATTCAGGATCAGGTGCAGCTGCGAGCAGCAGAGCCACCCGCGGAGCCCAGCCTATGTTTCTAAACGACAGAATCAAGCACGAAATAAACCATTAGCGTGTTAAACCCTTCCGTTCTTGTGGGAAACAGAAGGATTTCTCTCAAGCTGTCTCCCCCACATATATGCCAGACTTAGCGCTTGAGAAGGACTGTACGCTTGGAGGTCATCAGGAGTGGATTGGGGGTCGTTCTCCCTGAGAGTTATCAGCTGGCTAGACCAAGCAGACACCACTGTTTATCCCACAACAAGTAGGGCCCACTCCCTTCTGATAAGGATAGGAGTTGCCTGTTTCCTTGTAGGAGACACCAGAGAGGTCAAACCCGCCCAAGGATGACCAAGATTAGACTGCCATCATGAATCTAGGGTCCGCCCATCTTGTCACATGTATACCCCTAGACCTTCCCATTCCTATAGGCACACCTCTAATTCATCCCCTTCCTGTCATGCTTATACCTATCATAGATCCCCTTCCTACAATGTGTATGCCTATTGTACTGCCCCTTCCTGTGACGTGTGATTCTGTAATCATGTCCCCCCCCTAAAGTGATATAATGCATGGTTAGCAATAAAGAAAAGAGGCTCTCCCCAGCTCTGGGGCTGAAGGCTCTCCCCGACTCCCAGGGCCCTCTCTAGCTCTCGGGCCAGGACAGGCTCCCGGTTCTCAGTCCCCGAGGCTGCTCCTGCTCTCGTAGCCAGGGTCCCCCCACGAGGACCACCAAGCGGGGCAGAGGTGAGCAACGCTACCATGTAATGTGTCTGACTGCATCATTGTAATATCTCTTTTATCTCTCATGCTCTCGATGACTTTAATATAATATATATCTCAACCGTACAATTGTGCTTACTGAACCCATAGGTAGTAGTAGCAGTGGGGGCTGGCCCCTCACCTCCCCACCAAATTTAACTTAATACTGCACGTTCTGGGACGTTTTGTTCGTGGGATTTATCCGTTGTGTATTCACACACCTGTTGTGTGTCCACCCTGTACACAGGAACCCTGGTAGTTCAGTGGTTAGAGCACACAACTGCAAGCCAAAGGTTGGAAACCACCCAACAGTCCAAAGGAGAAAGGCGTGGCCGTCGGTCTCTGTAAAGATGGCAGCCTTACAACCCCAGGAGGGAAGTTCTCACTGGAGGTGCTGTGGAGGTGTGTGGCTGGCGATCAAACTCAATCTGTGGGTGAACTGGGAGCTTGTCTGCTTTCCATAAAGACTTGAGGTCTCAGAGACCCTCTGGCGCAGTTCCACGCTGTCCCATGGGGCCACCAACCGTTGGAGTCAATGCCCTTGGGTCCGTTCCAACTCACGTGAGCCCTGCAGGGCACGGTACAACTGCCCCTGTGGGTTTCTAAGGCTGTAACTCTTTATGGGAGTAGAAAGCCTCCTCTTTCTCCCAAGGGGTGGCTGGTGGGCTCTAACTGACGACTTGTGGTTGGCAGCCCAGTGTGTAACCACTAAGCCACCAGGGCTCACAGAAACACGCAGTAGTGGAAAATAGCCTCTTTCTAGTCTGAGAAGGCAGGCATGGACCAGCTGACTTGGGAGCAGGGCCGGCTTTCCTGCCGACTTTGCCTGGGGATCATCTCTCAGCAAGCATGGAGCCTCACTGAGACCCGCTGAGTGGCCAGAAGATGGCACAGGGCAGGAGTGAGGCATGCAGGCCGTAGAGAAGGGCTTCGCTGAAAGTCTTGTATGTGAGAGACGTCTCCCTCCCACACCCACACATCAGGTGTGCAAGACACCTCACTCCTCCTCACAGGATGGCAGGCATTGAAATTGTCAACTAAGCCTGCACCTGCTGGTTAAACCAGGCTTCACCCCGACGCCTGAGGACGTCCAGGCCCCTCCCCCAGGACCTTCTCCACTGCTTTATAATCGAACTAAAGGGCAGTACTGGGCATAAGCAAGGAAAGGGAGCCTTCAGAACCCTCAGACCCAGAATCGCAATTCTGAAGATGAGAACAAAGAACCACTGCTGTCGGTCCATTCCGTCTCGTAACAGCCCTACAGTTGAGGGCAGAACGCCCCTCTGGGTTTCTGAAACGTCCGTCTCGATCTTCCTCCCTCGGAGCAGCTGGTGAGCTGGAACCACTGACTTTGTGGTGAACGGCCCAGCATATAACCACACACAATCCAGAGGTTCCCCCGACCCCAAACTCCAGAGAGCTCCTCTCTTTTAAAAAATAAGTTTAATACTTCAATGCCCAGTAAAAAGCCCTGCCCCCCGGCGCTGAGAAGAGTCCCTAAGCTGAGCGGTTGTCCCTGCCTGGCACCCTGTGAGAAAGCAGTGGGTGGTGAAGGTCCCCCGGCCCTTGTCAGCGCCTCACCCGGGGAAACACATCTTTGGCAACCAGAGATCACGAGATGGTCAGAGGAAGCCGTGCCAGGAGGAAGGGATAAGCAAGATCAACAGCAGACACGAAGATGCCACCATCACGGAGGCTGACAAGGACAACCGGGGGGTGGGGGTGGGGGGGTGGAATGGCGCTAGAGAGCCAGGACCCCCAGCCTGGTTCTGCCATGATTCGCTGTGTGGCCTAAGGCAAGCTGGGTCCCTTCTCCGGGCCTCAGTTCCAGCCCCTGTAAAATGAGCGGTTGTGAACGCCAGGAGATCGCAGGTGAACACTGTGCTCCGTCCAGCCGAGTCCTTGCTGTTGAGCCCTGGCTGTGACTGCCTGCTGGGCAAGCTCCCTTCTGAGAGCAGCTCCCCACCTTCCTTTGGGAGAATACTCCCTCTTCACCCGACCATGTGGCTCCAGGGGCTGCCAGATGTAACCCAGGCCACAAGGGGGACGTGAGACAGCAGCCGGCCCGATCAACTGGAGCCCTCCCCTGGGACCTTTCAAATCCCAAGTGGGGATTTAGAACGATGAAGTCACCACGTGGCTCTGAGCTGGGAAGTGACAAGAGTCACCTCCCCACCGTGCTGAAGTGGAGTCACGCATGGAGCCGCAAAGAAGGCGGTGTCTCTAATGGGGGGTCTTTCGTGCCCAGGATCTGGGTGACCTGGAGACCCGGGGGTGCCTTCTGCTGCTCAGCTCTGTGTACCCCACTGACCCAGGAGAAACCCAGGTCTAGTTCAATCATGTCTAGTCGCCAGACCTGTGGGCCAAGACCCAGAGGAACTCAAGTGGAGCAAGGATTCAAAGAGACATGAGTTCAGGAGTGTGAGTTCTCATCCATTGGGAAGTCTGACCCTGCCATCCCCCGCACCTCACCCCCACCCGAATGGGGCCTCCTGATAAAAAGATTTTAAAAGGCATCCTTTCCTACACCAAGACATTTTCATTTCTATCTGTTGGAATATGGTGCTGTGTGGGGGGAGGTCAGATGCACAGGCATTCCCTCCCCTGAAGGCAATCAGTTGCCAGACTGCTGTCTCATCCCACCACAGGTGGGCCTGCTCCCTGCCTCTGGGGACAATGGACAGGTTCCTGTAGGAGGGGTTTACACCCTACTGATAATGGTTCCTATGGAGACCCAGAGACCACCCCCTAGACCACCCTCTCATTCCTGTGTAACCTATAGTGCAACTCCTCCCTGTGGCGTATGTCTCTACCTGTAATTAGTGGGCTGGCATGCCCCCAAAAGGTATATAGGTGAGAGTTAGCAAGATAGAGCTCTCTCTGGTTCTGAGCTCCTTGCTGCTCACTCCCTGGTCACTCCCCTCTCCCTTGTTCCCTTACCCTCCTTCCCTTCCCCCTCTCTCCACGTGGACCACCAAGCTGGGCTGAGGTGAGCAATGCTACCATGTAATGTGTCTGACTGTATTATTATAATATCTCTCATGCTCTCGATGACTTTAATATAACGCTTATATATCTCAACCGTACAATTGTGCATTACTGAACCCAGAAGTAGTATTACTGAATCCGAGTAGTAGCAATAGAAGTATTAGCGGGTGGGGGCTGGCCCTTCACCACCCCCCAGCCCCAATTTTTTAAATTTAATACTACAGTGCTGGCAGGCAGATACTCGAAGAAGGAGGGAAGGGTCTACTGCAGTGGCTGGCAAATTATAACTCTTCATAGACACCTCTGAGAGGGATGAATGGTGCCACCTTGGGTGGTGCACTCCTCCACAATGCCCAGCCAGCCTATCCCGAGGGGGGCCCAAGGGATGCTACTTTCCTCTAGGGCTTGCCTCCTGGTGTGGACTGCACCCAGGTATCACAGGCCACCTGCTGCCTTCAACGCAGCCCAGACGCCGTTCCCTGGTAATATCCACTCACTTCTTAAGTAATATCCACTCTTCCCCAACTCGGTCCATGTGGCTCAGGGGGAGCTGATCCCCTATTCCTCCCCAAGGCGGGGCAGGAGACCTGGGGCTGGCCAAACCTAACAGTCCATTTCCTAAGTTCCCACTGGGTCAGACTCAACATGTGCCCACCACCGGGCAAATAAGAGTTGATCCTAAGCTTTGGGTCCAACCCCTCACCCAAAGACAAAAACACTGCCATCAAGGACAGAGCAGAACTGGCTCTGTGGGTTTCTGAGCCTGTGAATCTTTACGGGAGTAGAAAGCCTCATCTCTCTCCTAAGGAGTGGCTGGTGGTTTGGAACCGATGACCACATGGTTAGCAGCCCAGTGAGCATCCCACTATGCCACCAAGGCTCCTCTTAAGCTTCAGGTTAGAGATGTTGAAAAAAGGGAGGTTCTCTAGCTGCTGGATCTATGACGATTTTTTACCAAGAGGGGGACAGCCACCCGAGAACAAAGGCAACAGAACTAAGTTCGTCATTAGGCCATGCTTTGAGCCCCTGGATCTCTCTATGCCTGAACCTGGACTTGTCAGAACTTATTCAGTAATAAATTTATTTCCTTAGAAGTTGGGTTTTCTGTCACTTTCAGCTTGTGATAGGTAGATTCATTGTGCCAACCAGACCAGTAGGAACATGTGGGATTATTCAGGTCACAGTTTGAGTGGAGGGCACAGAGATAAAAAGGCTCAGTAAGGCCCACCCCTCAGTCTTGCTCTCTGGTGATCGGACCAGCATGTGGCTGCCTTAGGTAGCTTTCTGCCTCAACTTTTTAGCTACACTACCCATGGGACAGCCAACCCGTGGATTGTGATGCTAGAACTTGAGGTTCCTTCGAGACCTGCTTCTCCACACTGTTGGTGCATACATCACTTGAGCTTGAGGCTGGTGGATCCTATCATCTTGCATTGCTTGAGTTCAATATCCCATCCAGGCCTGCTTCGCTAAACTCCTGAACTGCTGACTGTTGGAGACCCACCTGCTGCTTGCTGTCTGAGGGCAGACTCTGCCTGTATTGCCCAAGGGAAGACTCAGCTGTCTGCTTCCTTGACCTTGGACCAGGCAGCCGTCCTGAATTGAAGGACTTCCAGCATATTAACTGTTCCACGGAAGTGAGTTGAATTGAGCCCTCTGTACTGCTGTGTGGACTAATTAGCTATTCCTTCATGCCGTATAAATATATATATATATTCATAAGTGTCTTGTTTCTCTAGAGAACCCTGCCTAACACACAGCTGAAAAGCATCATTAAGAAGATACACACAGGAAACCCCCATGGTCACAAATTCAGAACCAGCCCACAGGAAAAGACCCAAACAGAAGTGCATTCCCTCCAAAGACGACAATAACAAAATTCAAAAATGACAAAGGGAAGAATATCAGAGCCTAAATTGTGAACACCCAGTTTGTAGAAGGCTATGGAGGACAGTGGGAGCCCCAAACCGGTCTGCACATTCTATCTAGTCAGATTAAGCCGCTGGCAGATCCCCTCTGGCCACAGGAAAGGGTCTCCAACAGTTTTATTATCAGAAAGAGATCATTGTAATCGTGATTACATGGGATCAAATGCAATACTTGGTCAATTGATCTCCTTCTTGACCCAAACGGAAATTGTTCTAAATGCAAGTATTTCTTGCTTGTTCCATGACAAAAATCTCTTCCCTGGCCTTTTAAATACTGATGGTGGTCTTTGCTTTCTTCCATATTATTTGTATTTTTTATCTTTGTATCATTATTATTTTGCCCTGGTCACACTATTTTGTGTCTGTTTGTTTCCCAGCTTGTGACACACAGAAGGAGTAGATACATCGAGATGATAACTGAGGCAAGGGTCTATAGGGGAGGTAGGGGTGGGGGGTGGGAGACAGAGAGGGTGAGGGGGCTGGGGAAGCCAACAAGGAATGCAGGAGCGGGGAGGGAGCACTAGAACTAACGGTGATGACACAACTCATCTTAAAAGCACTTTAACCATGCAAAGATAAATGTTCTCAAATTGATTGGAATAATGATGGTTCCATCCTTCTGGATAGGATTGAACTATTGAATCGTCTATGTGGATTATATGCCAATAAAACTGTAAAAAAATAAAATAAATAAAAACAGAAGAGTGTTCCCAAGGCCATCAAATCTGAGGAGGGCTACACACCAGATGACCCCCCTTCTGGGAATGCTCGCTACAAATGGGCTTCTCAGAGACTGGGGATTCCTGTCATAAAGACACTTGAGCTCCGAGTTTCCCAAATCAATACCTTTGACCACCGGCCAATCTCTCTCTGTATTTTTAAAATCTATTCACACGTCCCAAAATGGTGGGTATTTGGGGGAAAGCCAGCTGAGATAAAGACAAAACAAACATTCCACGTGGGATGCTGAGCCCCAGGTAGTACCTTTCTTGTCTCTCATGGGCATCTTTGCCCCTGCGGTCAGAAGATCATCCATCTTCTTTGGTCGCTGGGTCTGAGCCTGGGTCTGAGCCTGGGCCTGCGTCTGGGCCTGCGTCTGGGTCTGTGTTGTTTCTACTCAGATCCGAAGAACAAGCAAGGGAGGATGAGGAATGAGTGACTGGACAAAACACAGCTCCAGAGGACAGCAAGGAGCCATCTCCCTTCTATCCATTGACCAAACATTCAAATAAGTTGATCTAGTCAGTGTTGCTCTGGGTCGGGAGTGGGGGCTAGGGGGAAGGAGGGACAAAGCTGCTTCCTGTGGCAGGAAAATTGAGACCCAACCAAGATGCTCAAATGAGGGAGGGTAAATACACTCACAGTTGCATGGACCCCCTTGTTGGGAACTCCCTGCAGCAGCCTAAGGGAACAAGGAGGGCCTCTGGTGCAAGAATGTGGGAAGAGCTTCTAGGGGTGTTGAGTGAGCTATAAACCCCAAGCCAGCGGCAGAGCAGGGATCCTATGCTACCCTCAAAGACCCAAACAACTCGCTGCCATCGCATCAATGCCAACTCGTGGTGACCCTACAGGACAGGGCAGAACTGTCCCTGCGTGATTCTGAGGCTGTAACTCTTCATGGGAGCGGACAGCCTCATCTTTCTCCCACCAAGTGGCAGGTGGTTTCCAACTGCTGACCTTGCGGTTAGCAGCCCAAGGTCTAACCACTACACCACCAGGACTCCTGTGCTGTCCTCAAGCTCCAGAAAGAAAAAAAAACCACCCACTCTGTGGTATATTTTCTCCATTGGTGATGCAGTGGTTACAGGTCGGGCTGTGCTCCTCATGGCCAGCAGTTCGAAACCACCAGCTGCACCGTGGAGGAAAGTCTGGGCTTTCTACTCCGGTAAACAGTTAGTCTCGGCTACCCAGAAGGGGTCGCTATGAGTCAGCATGGACTCGCTGTGACCCAGTGAGACCCTGACTTCCGTTGGGACCGTTCCACCATCCATCGTTCCGACGTGAGTCACATCCCACCTTCCTGGTTTCTCTCTCTAGTTTTCCTCTTCTGATCAGGATCTGGATAAACCCCATCAGTCTTTGTCTTTGCAGGTTGGACACATGACATAGCTGAGGATGATCACATCAGCAAACTGTGCGCTGTGACCTTGCATGTAGGACACATGACTGAAGAGAAGATGGAAGGGAGAAAGAAAGACAGAGTGCTTTGGGGGCAGTTCTTCATGACTCCAAGAGAGTTGTGAGTGGTGGGCCCTGCACCGGTGAGTCAACAAGTCTTGCTACAGCATCGTAGGCACCTTAGTTAGGCAACACTATCAAAGGGTGAAGTTAAGATCTCTCGGCATATCTCCCACTTGGACCTATCCCCTTCTGAAGGCTGTGTCGCCATCTCTCGGACCTCCCCCCCCAGAGAGTCCTGGGCTCTTCCTGGGGGACTCAGACCATCACCCTTCAATGTTCGTTGGGACTTGGGGCACAAAAAGAAATCTGAAGGGGCAAGACCAGGGCTGCAGGGTGGCCGGCGTCCGGTTTCTCAATGAAGTTCTCCTTGTTACCCTTGAAGAATAAGCAGGTGCCTCGTGATGAAGGGAAAATCTTCCCGGGGTCAACTTCCCTGGCCTCGCCCCACCAACGCAGTGTTTCCATTTTGTTAACACATTTCCTAAGGAGCCCCCTGTGACTGACTGTCCTGTGTTCTTTGAAGGAAAAAAAGTCTTGCTCCAAAAGCAGTTGCCCGAATCTTCTGTGCGGACCTCTCTGTCTGCACTTTACCTGGCCCAGGTGAGCCCGTGGGAGGGCAATGTTTTGATTGGACCTTTTGGGGTGAAGGCCCCTTAATGAGTGGTGTGCCGAGAAGAATTGCCTGCAGCCCCTCACTGACGCCTTTAAACACGCTCCGTTTGGGATAAACTCATGCACGTAAGAACTGGGTTTCTTGCAGCAATATTTTTTTAACTGACACTGATAAGTGTGTGTGTGTTTGTGAGGATGCATATCTTCTTGTGATACATTAGTGGGAAATATCCCCCGATAGTAGTGGGGGAGGCCCCTCAGAGACGGTGGCGAGAACAGGGATGGAGGGGCCTTCCCTATGACCTTGTGGCACAGGGGGCTGTCAACTGCAAGGTCATCAGTTCCAAACCACTAGCTGCTCCTTAGGAGGCAGGTGAAGCCTTTTGTTCCCATAAACATGGCCAGCCTCAGAAGCCCACTGGAGTCCCTCCACTTGGAGGCCGTGGACTTTGTACCACCTGCCATCTGGCCACGTCACTCAGCATTCATTCTAAGACAAGGTGACCAGATGTCCCGCTTCTGGTGGGATAGTCCCAATTTTTGACAATTTTTCCCGTGTCCCGCAGCGTTTTTAAAAAGTCCCGATTTTTGGAACGAATGCACGACAAGCTAGGGTGTACGGTTTTCGGCTGCCATGTGGCTATTTCGCCAGGATATGAGTTTCATCAATGGTGTCCCACTTTACCAATGTTAAAATCTGGTCACCTTATTCTAAGAGCATAGGGAATCCTGTGATCATCTACAAAACAAGTTTGACAAAATTGTTTGGAAAAGGAAGCCACAAATGGGGGTGGGACCTGAGGGAGTTTCTAGGGCCAAGTTCTACCCTTGACCCTTGACTTGGGCGGCAGTTCCAGAGGGGTTCAATTCGAGTCATCAAAGTGTCACTTGTGTACTTGTACTTTTTGCGTGCTAAACATACTCTACAATTTCACAAGAATGTTTTTCTCCCTTAAAAATTTCAAGGAGCTGAGGATCAGGAGACAGGAGACAGAAATGGACAGTCAAGGGATCTGAATGCCCTGGGACTCACCTCCCATCCCCCCCGCCCCGCCCCTACTCACCCCTGGTCTTTTGAGTGGAGGCCTGAGAAACAGACTGGAGTTCCGGGTGGCCAGTATCTGGAGTCCAGAGGCAGGAGTCCGGGAGCAAAGAGGAGCAGGAGACACGGTGAGGTGGTTCAAGGGCATGGGCTCAGGGAGATTCTCAGAGCTACTCAATGCAAGTGATGGCAAGGATGTAGGCTAGATGTGTGCTAACTACCCACATTTAGCGCCAGTACCCTAACCCCCCCAGCTTCCCCTACTCAGCACCCATCTGCCTCCCCCCACCCCACACAATATCCTCTTGAGAGCCATTCTTCACAGACTGCGTCCACTTCCTTCAGAGGAGCTGGTACTAGCCTGTTTAGAAGCTGAGCCTGAGCCAATCAGAGAGCTTTCTGAGCCTGTGGCCACAGTGATTGGCTCAGAGTGGGTATGTGGCCTGGGCTTGCCCAATGACACTCAGTTCTGGGATAATTGTGGAAATGGTGACAAAATAATCCTCTTTCCTCTGGATTCTTAATAAGTGAGATCGAAGTCCTGGGCGCCTACAGCCATATTTGGGGAAATCCGCCGGAGTATGAAGCCAATATAGAGAAAGTAGAGTGCAGGGATGGAGCCAGGTTCCTGATCCTATCCTCTGAGGACCTAGATCCAGCCGTGCCTAAAAGTCTACCCCTGACCTTTCCTGGACTTTGCCTAACTCGAGAAATTCTCGGTTTGGCCGATTCATTTGGAGATGAGTTGCTATGAAGGGGTCTGTCCTATCATTGTCTTGACAGACTTCTCGTTTCTCACCTGGGACTTGAGTCAGGACATGGCTGTCTGTTGTGTTTGGTTCGGTTGCGGGGAAGGATACGGTCTCCTTCGATATCTGTCCTGCTGGAATCAAGGATGAAAAATCAGTGGGGAGGCGGAACCGTGGTCTCCCTTCCCTCACCAACCATCTCCCCCGTCCGTCCTTGGCGCTAACTCAGGGGGAGGGGTCCAGTCTGCTGGTAGAACCACTCAGCTGTGGCCAGATCGACCCTATCCGCTGTCTTCATCTGAAACCTGTTGGGTACCATAGCAACACACAAGTGGTGCTGGGGCTGGAGGTGCATGCATCAGGAATCCAACCAGCATCTCCCACGTGGGGGCAAAAAGCCTCCCCACCTGTCGCAGGTGAGGAAGGTGGGAGAGGGAAAGGGACTCCCCCCTGTTTAGCACGTAGTCAGAGCAGGATACAAGTCCTATGTCCATCCTGCTTCTGCCTCCAGTCTCCCCCTTGAGCATCGCAGGAGCCCCCACCCTGCTCTCCCTGCTCCTGTCCCTGACCCTCACAGTCTGGTCTCCACCCATAGCTAAAGGCACCCCGTGAATGCTTGAGTTATATCGGGGCCTCTTCAAGGAGCCCCTAGTCTTCATCACATCCCATAAGTTGTCCCTCTACCTGCTCCCCAATCACCTTCCCCCTCCTTCCCTTGTTCCCCACTCCTTCCCTGCTCTTCCTTGCATTCACCACCCCATCTCTTACAGCCACCCACCCATCTCTTGCTATTGTTTGCCTATCATTCCCTCCACGCAGCCTTCTCTGACCGCCGATTAAAAATTCCTCACTGCCGTCTCCATAATGTATCACTTTCCAAGAGTGGTTAAGGATTGGACTTCTAACTGTAACGTCCCTAACCACCAGGGACGCTGAGAGAGAAAGATGAGACTCTAAAGGTTTACAGTCTCAGAAACCCACGGGGGGCAGTTTCACCCTGTCCTGTGGGGTCACGAGGAGTTGGCATCACCTCGATGGCAGAGTGCGTACTGGGAAACCTAAAAAACAAACCCCAAATTCACTACCATCGATTCAACGCCAACTCATAGTGCCTTAGACAGAACTGCCCCTGTGGGTTTCCGGGAGTCGAAAGCCTCCTCTCTCTCCCTCGGAGCGGCCAGTCATTTCAAACTGGCACCCCATCGTGTAGTTACTATGCCGCCAGGCCGTCCAAGCCCTCTCAAAATCAAAGCCACTGTATGGAATCGGTTCTGAGCCATAGTGGCCTGTATGAGTTTGTGAGGCTTTCTAAATACAGCCCCCATCTTTCTCCCAGCAGCTGGCTGGCGGGTCTGAAGGGGCACAGCAGTATTCTATGCTCAAAGACCGAATTTCTGTTGAATGATGGGGTGTTGGGGGGCAGGTGGGGAATCAATAACCATCACTATTCAAAGAGAAATGACCTTCATGCTCTGGGCTCTGAGGGAAGGCCAAGTCAAAAACTGCCATCAGGTGGATTCCGATCATGGCGACCCTAGAGGACAGAGTAAAGCTGCCCCTGTGCCTCTTCCTCCCTCACCACCTGCTGGGTTTGAACTGCCAACCCTGAGATGAGCAGCCCATGGTATGAGTATGACCCACGGTAGCACGGGGCTCCACGGCAGTGCCAGCTTGCCCTCAGGATGCCTGGCCTAGGGATCTGAGATGCTAGGAATCGGACACCCATCTTCCCTCCAAAGCAAATTCAGCAAGTTCTCTTGGAGGGGAAGTGGAGGGTGCTCAGCGGGATGCAGTCTGGCCAGACTCCTTGGAAGCAGCCACCTGGGGCCTGAAGTGTTGAAGGAGGGTGGGAGGGAGGCCAGTCCAGCAGGGGGTAGATGAGCAAAGAGGGCAGAGAGATCCCCACACTCAAGGGGTGGGGCAGGGGGCTCTGGGTGCAGGGTGGAGAGGAGGGCGGGGCCTTACCTCTGGTGGGCAGAACCAGGCCAATGAGGCTGAGGAGACACAGACGACCGGTAGGCGACATCTGCGGGTTGAGTCAGAGCGCCGTCAGCCTAGACGCCGCTATCCCCAGTGAAGGGAGAGGGGGCGTGGGGGTCTCCTGCAGCCAGCCCCACCCCCACCCCGTAGTCAAGGACGGCCTGCCAGTCTCAACAGCCAGCTGCGGGGCAGGCTCTGGGGTCCAGCACCCTGGTTTACCACCCTCTCCTAGCCGCAAGTGTCTAAAAGAAAATCGACCCCAAAGACTGCCCAGGCACCTCAGAGACGAAGATGCCCCTCCCAGGCCCCTGGCCCAGGCCCCACCCTCACCCGCTGGACCGAGAGCGCGCAGAGAGGGGTCTGGCGCGGGAAGGGATGCACCCTGGACCACGTCCCCTCCCTCGGGGCCTGTCCCCTGGGCTGAGGACTCCAGGGACTGGTGGGGAAGAGGAAGTGTGAGTAATTCACGCCTGAATGCAAAGGAAAAAGTGTGTTGGTGGCCGCGACTGCTCAGCAGAGGCAGTGGGACAGGATAGATTTGGGAAGGACGGTCCGCGGAGAGGCGGAGGAGAGATGGGGAGCCCGAGGCACCGGAGGGCGAGCAGCGGGGAGCGGGTTGCCCAAGGTGGGCGAAGGAGGGGTCGACCGCGGAAAAACGAGCCAACCCCGGAGGTGGAGAGGCTCCGAGAAGTTCAGCCTTCTTCCCGGGCAGCGGGGCAGCGGGCGGAGGTGGACGGCGGGAGGGACTTACGACCGAGCCGGGGGTCGGGAGCCGCGGGCTGCGTGGTGGGCAGAGGACCGCCGCGGTGCAGCGTCCCGGCGGAGGGTGGGGCCAGGGGCGGGCGGGCGGGGAGCCGGCCGGGCGCAGTCATTTCCTCTTGGGTTTCCTGCTTGCGGAGCCCGGGGTGGGGACCGG